ATCACCGCCCGCCGCTCGTTACCGACTCGTCTACTGCGAAACATAAACCTGCCAAAACAAAACGTTATTTTCTCCCATCTGCCTTTAAGGCTCTTACCAGAGACAGAACTGATTTAAAAGCATGACAGTGTTTTTATTTAAAAAAAGCTGATTGATTTATTTTAATTTACCAGCAACAGAACTTGTGCTCCAGAAAAAAAGGTTCAAAACAGAAAATTAGCTCAGGACTTTCACATTTTTGTCCTCTCGACTGTCTCACTAATAACTCGTATATAAAACACTACAAAACTTTACAAACTGTGTTAGAATTTGCTAAATGTTGGAGTAAAGTTATGATAAATAAAAACAAGGCTAAAAATTACTCCAGAAATATAAAAGTAAAAGTCTTCTATTCCTTTAGAGTCAAACAAAAGTTTGGTTTATCTGTAGAACAATCGGTTCTTTATCAAATTATTCATGAGTAATACAGATGGACTAAATATTCACGTGTGGAGTTTCATTATAAAGTTAAACTTTAAGACCCACTGGTCTGACTTTACTAAGTACAGGTCACTGCTAAGAGTCAATCTGTCATAAAACGTATCTTTGACAATCAGGATTCATAAAAGCACGTTTTGTATTTGAACTTAATTTCAGTCTCTTCGGCAGACGAGCTGCTCCACTTCTGTTTTACTGAATAAATTTGTTTCATGTTCTGCTTCAAGTTTTCATTCAAGACGGACGACCTGAAGACCCAACATAAAATATTAATTTATTTGCAATAACTTTTTTAATCAAAGTCTTTTTTATTGATATTTTTCTTTTCAGAACACGCACACAAAAACATACAAAACCCCCTCCCTGAACGATTCGGCCACTCAGATAACACCACGACAAGACAGGCATCGACATACTTTCAATAAATGGCTGCCAAGTGTCCCCAAATCTCTCAACGGATCCTTTCAGAGTACAGCAGTCCCTCGTTTATCGCAGGGATCTGTACCCTGAAGCTCCACGGTAAGTGAAAAACTGCGAAGTAGGAACAGTAGTACAAGTAGTAGTTTATTTTTAAACCCTTCCCACGCTCTTGCAATATTCTAAACAATGTCTCTAAACTCTAAATGCTGTAAAACGGCACAGAATGTCATGATTCCAGTTCTCTTCCTCCAGCTGCTCTCTGCCAGCGCTCTAGGCCACGCCCACTTCTCTGCTGCATAGCGCAGATATGACACTGCAGGAGGAGGGAGCTTCTCCTGCAGCTTGGGCTGCACACTGGTGCTAAATAAAGTTAAAATTATTTATTTTAAATAAAAATTGCATGACGATCGTGCGGCTCATCCATCAATCAGCCAAGTGTGTGTCATGTCCAATC